GCTTTGGCCAATGTGATGTTAGCAAAAGTGACACAGGCAAGGGCCTAAATGCACTTGTGTGTGAAGGTTTGCTCTGTAGACAGACAGACAGACATCCTATTGGTTCTGTTTCCCTGTAGAACACTGACGTACACCCTGAAGAATGACCCGTCAGACCTGTCTCTGAGGAGGTAGCTTTTTAACCTGTTGTGATTAGAATAATCAACTTGGTTCTCATTTATAATGTGTTGAACTAATGCAAAGAGATATATGCATCCCTATGTTCGTTGCAGCATTATTGACCACAGCGAAGACGTGAAAGCAACCTAAATGTTTATTGGCAGGTGACTGCATAATGAAGCTGTGGGCGCATGTATACGATGGAATATTACTCAGCCATAAAAAAAGAGTGAAATCTTACCATTTGCAACAACACGGACGGACCTAGAGAATATAATACTAAGTGACGTAAGTCAGAGAAAGACAAATGCTGTATGTTTTCATTCACTTGTGGAATCTATAAAACAAAATAAATGAATAAACAAAACAGAAACAGACTTACAGATGCAGAGGGCAGACTGATGGTTTCCAGGTGGAGGGGTATTAGGGGACTGGGTGAAAAAGATGAAGGGATGAAGAAGGACAAATCGGTAATTACAAAATAGTCACAGAACGTAAAGTATAGCCTAAGGAATATAGTCAGTAATATTGTAATAGCTATTTATGCTGCCAGGTGGGCACTAGACTTATTGTGAGGATCACTTAGTAAGTTATATAAATGTGTAATCACTATGCTGTACACCTGAAACTAATATAAAATTGAATGTCAGCTGTAATTGAAAAAAAAAAATTTAAATAAATAATGTATTGCTCTGGCGTGATGGCTCAGCAGGTTGGAGCATCATCCCACACAGCAAAAGACTGCGGTTTGACTCCCGGTCAGGGCACGTAGGGGAGGCAATCAATTGATGTTCCTCTCTCTCTCTCCCTCCCTTTCTCTCTCTCTCAAATGAGTCAACATATCCTCAGGTGAGGATTAAAAAAATAATAATAAGGTACTGATTTCAACTGTTTAAAAGTTGAATAATAAAACACTTGGTTTTAAAAACTGTACTTGGAGAGGAAGTCACAATGTATGAATATTTATTCATTTCATCCTACACTCAAGTGCCCCAAGTGATTAGTTGGCCGGAAATGTCAAACTTCAGGTTTTGCTATAGATCAGCTTACAGCCTACCCATTTCTCTTGCTCCTTTGCTTATTTGTACAAAATGTGCTGAAAGAAGATAGGAGGTTTTCTCAAGGTGTTGAAATAGCACCCAAGATGCTGGCAATATTATCTGCAAAGCTGGGTTCTTACAGAACTCATTCTCAGCCATTTGGGGAACAGGCACCGCGCTCGGCGTTTTAGATGTCATCTGGTTTGGGCCTCGAGCTCAAGTTCATGCAGCAAGTGCGGGGCAGGGCTGGGACCCGAAGTCAAGTCCAGCACCTGCTCTCGTAACCCCGGTGTCCTCCCGCTTCTTCAACATCCGCGAGGTGGGTGGAAAAGCTAACTATTGGAACATGGGATGGGTGCTCGGCCACACCGGGCCCACAGTCAGGAATTGGGATCATTAATGGAAAGACTCCTGTTTGAAGAACGTGCCTTTGTCCCCAGCACCGACCGCCTCCTGAGCTGAGCGACCTCATGGACCTCAGACCTCAACCAAAGGAACCAGGAAACCTCTGGAAAACAGCTCTTTAAACCTCGGGGCGCCTGCCTTGCAACCTCCTTTGTCCACACTGTGGCCGGATGGTGTCTGCAGCTCTGACTCTGTCTATTGCTGCCTAACCAGTTACCTCGAATGCAGCCGCGTAAAGCAACAAGTATTTATTATCTCCATTTCTGAGTCCGAAATTTGAGAGGCGTTTGGCTGGCGTGTGCTGCACAGGGTCTCTGCTTTAAATGTAGGTTTTATTATTATCGGGCGTGGCAGGCCCACAGCCCAGGAGGCAACTGCTGTCAAAAAGATAGATTACTCCTTGCAGATCCCAAGAAAATGAGGCAAGGCAGGCCACGGGCTGCACACCGGGGAGCAGCAGGGGCTGGGAGGCCGAGGGAGGCCGAGGGAGACCGGGCACTCAGGCAGGAGCCTTGATTGTGGCAAAGGAAAGGAGCCGGCAAGGCAGGGTAAGCAGGCTAAGGAACGGCTGGTTTAGGTACTTTCAGCAGGCTCTGGGGCACAGGGGCTGCCCGGGCCTTGGGGTGGCCAGGGAAGGGGGATGGTGGCCCAAAGGGTGAGAGCCCAATAAAGGGGCTGGTTGGGGGCGTGGGCTCTGAATCTGTGGTTTGTATCTGAAAGGCAAGCTGTTTACCACCTGGGGCGGATTAGCTAACCTAGGAGGAGCGGTCCCTCCGGAGTCAGCAAAGCCTCGGATGTTAAAGCCTCCGAATATGGAAAGTAAAAGACATAGTTACTACGGTCTCCCACGAGGGGGCAGGCAGGATGGAGGCTGGGGCTGCAGCCATCGCAGGCCTCACTGGGGCTAATGACTCCCTCTCAAGGTTGCTTGCTGGCCAGTGATTTTGCGCTGCGGGCGGCGGGAGCCTCGGTTCCTCATCAACTGAGCCTCTCTCCACAGGGCTGCTTGAGCATCCTCTTGACATGGCCGCCGGCTTCCCCAAGGGTATGTGACCCAGGAGAGGGAGCGAGGTGGAAGCCGCAGGCCTTTTTATGACCTAGTCTTGGACGCCGCGCACCATCCCCTCCTCCGCACCAATGAGTCAGCAGCTAGTCCCTGTGTCCAGCCGCACTCAACAGGTAGGCAGTTAGGTTCTGGATGTTGAGGTAAAAGTTGTCAAAGGATTGGTGAACATATTTTGAAACTATCACAGCTTTTTCCACGGAAGTCACAGAAACTCAACTCCAAAAAGGCGTCGTGTGCGGGCTCACAGGAAGAAGCCAGGGGAAGGGCAGAGTGGAGCTGGTTTCTCAGGGACCGGAGCCACGGACCCAAACGCGCACACACTCACGCGTCCCTACGCGGGCCCTGTCTCTCAGCTCTGGCCACCCCACAGCCTGTCTGAATGCACGCGCTCACGGCCCCTCGAGCAGAAGTGGGAGCGGCGACCTCAGGGGTGTCCCTGGCGCCTCGCCCTCTGCCGCCGTCTGGGCCGGACCGGGGCCAGGGCGGACTCGCAGGACCAGCCGTGCTCGTGGGCTCACCCCTTGGACCAAGCTCTGTGCCTGGGGCTGGGAGTCGGTGCATCAGTGCGCGGCCCCGTGTCTGGGTGCAGGGCCTCCCCGGCGGGAGGCGACGCGGTCTGGTTGCCAGGTCGGAGCTGAGTGACCATCCCCAGTTGCAACCCTGCCTGGGCCGGATTCATGAGCCAAGGTCTCCGCCGCCTTAATTTTGGAATAGCAGGAAAAAACAACCACTTCAAACTCTCAAAATGGTCACTTGCCACAGGTGTGGCCTAACCCACAGGTCTATTTGAAGACCTCAGTGTCTCTGAGAGGCCACCCCTTTTCATGGTTGACACTCCTCCGAGCCAGAATCCAGTCTGGACGGAACCCCCCCCCGGCGGGGGGGGGCGGGCAACCGTCCTCGTTCCGTTTTCTCCCAGGGGGCTGCTGTCAAGAACAAGGCTCACGAAAACAAGCCGAAGGAGCTGCAAACAGAACTCACGCCTGCAGAACCCGTGGCTCTTGCGCGGAGCTTGTCCCGCCTGGAGACACGAAGGCTGCCCCTCACCCCGTCCAAAGTCCTGATGGGAAGACTTGGCGCTCAAGTGTGGTTTCATTGCCAAAAACACCTCCCAGACAAACGCTCGGCCGTTCTGGGGGAAACGCTCTCGCAGGTCCAGTAGGAGGAGCCTCAATGGGACCCGCTCACCTGGCTTTGCCCTCGACGTGTGCGGAGCTGGTGAAAGTGGGCCAGAGGTTGGACGGGACCTATGCTTTTGCTCCTGAAGCTCCCGTGGCTTTGAGTTGATTTCAGATAAGATGTTTAACATTTCACCAACATTTTAAATAAACACTTGGTTGACTACTTCATTTGTCCAGGGCACATTTGAGAGCATTTTTCTGGGGTTATTTGGGAAAGAAATTAGACTTGGCTGTCAAGGTGCAAATTCCAGCTCTGACTTAGATTTTTTCATCTGTAAAATGGTGTCCGAAGACTTGCCAAGTGTCTGGCACATGAGTTGCTTGGGAAACAGGTGGCACTTTGTGACTGCCTGGAATGTCAGAAGAGGGAACAAGCTCAGGGAGGATCTGCCGCTTGTCCAAGACTGCACGGCTCGGGGGCATGGGCAGGGGTTCTGACCTCCAGCCCCAGGGTCCCAGACCAGGGCCGGGAAGAGGGCCCTGAGGCAGGTCACAGTGGGCCTTGGGGTGGGGAGTTGGGGGAGGCAGCCACAGCCTTTCAGGAGGGAGAGGTGGGCAGGGAATGGGCAGTTGGTGGGGCGCGCCCACGGGTGCGGACAGAGAACCCCTGAAGCTGTGGGAGACCCTTGACCCTCCGCTCGGGTCCGCAGGCAGCAGGAGGCTGGCCAGAGCTTCAAATCTGCCTTTAGCCGCACACCTGGTCCTGCTGGCCGCCTGCCGCACCGCCTGGGGTGACCGTGGTGACACAAGACGCACTGTGAAACACCCAAGCGTGCGTGTCACTCACTCCCTAGTGTGCATGCGCGCACAGCACGTGCGGGTGCTCCCAGAGGACGGAACTCATCACACGATGGCAGGGGCCGTCCGTCCGTCCACGGTTCCCACGTTGCAGTAATCATCAGCGCCTCCGCTGAGCTCGACTCCCTCCTGCAGGAAGTCCTCCGGGTGCCTCCTTGAAGTGTGGTGTCTCCTCTTCCCCTCTGGACTCAGAACTCCTGTGTCTCCTACTAGCATCGGCCGACTGCTGCTCAGGGCCCAGCTGCCCAGCTGCGCTGCCCAGCCCTCCCCGTCCCCAAGGCAACCTGTGAAGGAGCAGAGGGGGCCCCTGTGCCCACCCAGCTCCTCATCGACCACAACACAGCCTTCCTCTCTTGCACGGTGTTTATTGGTTTCCAAGGGCAGCCCCTCTCCCAAGGATGCTGAGCAGGCTCATATCTTTTGGGCTCCAAAGACGGGACGGTTCACGTGCTCGGGGGAGTCCAAGAAGGCCTTGAGCTTGGGCCGGGCGCTGAGGCGCGCCACGTAGGCTGCGAGCAGAGGGAGGGAGTCCAGGCAGCCAGGGGCCAGGACCTGGTGGTTCAGCAGCAGGTCCAGCAGGTTGTAGTCAGCAAAGGAGATCTGCAGGGTGGGGGCCGGGGATCTTGAGCAGGGTTGCGAGAGATGGGTGCTGGGGCCCGAACTCTGGATGCTTTAGTGAGAGAGTCACAGCCCCGTTCTGGGCCTCCATTTTCCCACCTGAGAAATGGACCCACAACTGGCCGGACCCAGTACCCACCTGGTCACCCACGATGAAGGCCTGGCCCCCCTGGTTCTGGGCCAGCAGGGTCTCGAAAGGCTTCAGGCGTCCCGGCAGCTCCTGAACATACTGGGCCTTGCTCTCCTCCTGCAAGCAGGGAGGATCCCAGTGGCGGGTGCCAGGTGCTGCCAGGGGTCCGCCCCACCCCCGGCCCCGGGCGCCAGCCACGGCCCAGCCACACTCACGTAGCTGTGGTGGATGAGGTGGCCGCAGAGCTTTCGAAGGTCCTCCACCCCATCGTTCACCATGTCCACCAGCGCCGCCTCCCGCTGGTCTTTGCCATAGAGCCCTGGTTGGGGGCTGGCCTGAGCTGCATTGTCCCGTCCAGAGGGACTGGCCACCCCAGCCCCATCATGCAGAGACCTCCTAACCCTGGCCCTGCCCCTTCCTCCAGGGCCATCTGGCCTGCTCGTTGGCCGGGCAGGACTGTGGAGGCTACACGTGCAGCCGCTCAAGTCCCCAAACATCCTGCTGGGACCCATCAAGTACTTTCCTGGACCTTAGGACTCACCGAGGGAGCGGCCCAGGTGGCGCAGGATGGCATTGGACTGGTACAGGGTCAGGTCCCCGTCCTGGAACTTGGGGAGCTGCCCGTACAGCTGGGGGGATGGCGTGGCTCCATGAGGGACGCTGAGCTCAGCTGTCCCCTGCCTTAGCTTTGCCCCCCAAGGCCCCGCCCCCACCCCATGGGGCACAAGCACTCACACAGGAGGCCTTGAGTGAGCCCTGCAGCCAGCTGTCCTTGGTCACCACCTCCTCCTTCCAGCTCTGGCCCTGGTCAGCCAGCAGCATGCGCATGGCCTCGCAGCGCCCTGGGGGGGCGGGGGGCGGGGAGACAGGAGTGTGTGTCGGGAGAAACCCTCACCTGGCAGCCGTCTGGGAGAGGGTGGACCTCAGGGGAGGAATGGAGACCATGGCCCCAGCCATGTATGTCTTGGAGAGGAGGACACCCAGTCCCACAGTGTCCCCAGGGAAGACAGAGGAGTAGCGGCGAAAGCCAGCTTTGGCCCTGCCCCCTCAATCCCGCCTCTGGCCCTGGCCCAGGTCCAGGGAGCAGCCTGAGCGTCTGGCCTGTGCCTGTCCTGAACCCTTTGTCCTCCAGAAGGAGCAGGTGCCTCACCTCGGACGGGGAAGTAGAAGATGGTGTAGGATGGCACTAGGAGAGACGGGCAGACGGCACAGTGAAGGACTGTCCCCACGGCTGCAGCCCGGGAGCCAGACTCCACGGAGAGAAGGTGGCTTAGCCAGGGCCCACCCCCAACCCGACCCGGTCCAGACTCCACTCACTGGCAGGCACTGGCAGGCGGTGAAGGGCAAGTATGTGGGAAGTGGAGAGGCGCCCAGAGGGCTGTATTTATGGCTCTGTCCCGCCCCTCAGTCCTCCCTGCCTCGCCCCAGGAATGCGTTAAGTCACTCTGCTTGGTCCCAGGCAAAACCCTGGGTGTGGCAGAGGCAGGGCCCGACAGGCCTACCGGCCCACCTGCAGGGGTGTACCCTGCCTGAGGGCTAGTGGCTATACAACGTTATCTTTGCACACACCCAAGCACGGGTAACTCCTCAGGGTCCCCAGCACCAGCGCACAGTTGGTGCTCAAGAAACGCTTGAGTTAACCATGGATAAATGCAATTTCAATAGACTTACCTAAAAGCCCCAGTTGGGTCCTCTTTACCAGAGCTAGCTGTCCTTCCCTTAACCCCGTCAGCCACAGTCAACTGCTGTTTTTCCAAGCCTCTATTATCAGGGCTGGAAGATTGCTGAAAGTACCCTAAAGGCGTCACTGTGCTGCAAAACTGCCACACAGGACATGTGAGGTCACAACAAGCAGACCCTGCACCTCAAGGTGATTGATGTCAAAGCAAACTGAAGCCACACAAAACCAACTGAAGCGTCCTTTTCTGCAACAGTCCTGTCTGCCGACTGCAACCCCCTTGCCCTTTACAACCCAGTAAAAGCTCACAGCCCCAGCCTTTCGGGCCGGTGCTGCTCTCTACTTGTAGGCCCCTTTCCTCTCTTGGAAAGTGAATAAAACCTTTGCTCTCTGCGTTTCTTCTCTTTGTGAGTTCTTTCACAGCCCACGGCACCAGCCACCCGAACATCATACATTTGCACATTCTCTGCCTGTGATAATAATAATAGCAAACCCTTAGGGGCTGAGGACTGTGTTGAGAAATTTACAAATATTGCAACCCTAAGCTTGGTACTGTTCTGATCCCCATTCGACAGAGGAGGAAACTGAAACAAAGAAGTTAAGAGACTTTCCCAAAGACACACCGCTAGTAAACAGAATTTAAACCAAAGTTTGGCTTCAGGGTCACTTGTAACTCTCATTCTCCTGTATGTTCTGTCACCTCCAAACCAAGTTTATAAGCTTTGTCCCCAGCTTAGAAAAATTTTTGTACTCTTCAAATACAGGCTGGGCCTGGGGATATGGGTGGATGGAAAGACAGAAAGACTGGAACTGAGACAGGAGAGTAAGAAGCTAAGAAAATTCCTTGGCAAGTGGGATAGGAAAACTGAGACAGAGAGCTGAACAAACTGGCCAAGCAATTTACAGCCTGTGCAGATGGTCACCAGGGCAGAAGGCCTGGCAGGATCAAAACTGGGAAAACAAGGACCTCACCCCTAGGGCAGCTTTTCCTCTCCTGCCCTTTCCTCCCTGGAAATAACATCTAGGCCTCAGCAGTATTTCAGCTCCAGACCCAGAAAAGCAGCACAACCAGCCAAGACCAACCGCAGTGACTAAAGACCCCCTGCCCTGTCACTGGCCAATCAGCGGAGACCATGGCCCTGGAGAACTGATGAATGTTCTGCTGAAACCCTCCCCTGAGATTTCCTCCTGCAAGAGAGAGATAAAAACTCTAGACAAAGGACCCAGCATGTGCACTGTCTCTCTGGGGAGCAGCCCGTGCCATTTCCTTTCCCTTCTTCCCCCCAGCACGGCCCCCCCTCTTTCCCGACAGGCACGCGTCCCCTAAACTAGGTCAAAGGGCAGCTGGCAGCTTGTTCCAGGCTAACCCCCTGAACCTGTCCCAAAGCCCCCTTCTCTCTGACATCCCAGTGAGCTAAGGCAGCCCAGCCTGGGCTCTCCTGTTGCTTCCTCTGTGCTAAGCCTTTCCTTGTTTCATTCTCCGCAGCTTTAACAAGGGTATCCTCATAGTTACCTGAAGTCTTGTTGTGAAATCTTTCCTACACGAAGTCAGGAGCCCACACACTACAGCTGGCCCCAGGCGGCCCGCTCAGGGCCAGGTCCCAGCCTGGTAGCAGAATGAACAAGATCTCCTGAGGCAGCACAGGGACTTGGGAAAACTACCAGTTGGCCAGGAGGCCAGGTTAAGGTCTGGGGGCCAGAAGGAACACTGGGTAAACTGACTGCAAAAGGAACACTGGGTCACTGCCTCTCCATTCTCCGCTTAAAAACGCAGAGGTAGCTTAGCGTGTCTCCCTTCTTGTGGCTTCCTTGCATTTGTCGAAACTACTGACCCTCGTGTTGAGTGGATCAAGGTTGACAGCTCTCTGACCTTCCTGCTGTGGCCCCAGCAAACCGCACCACCATCTTGCCCCCACTTCGAAGGTCCAAACCACTGTTACCAGACAATGCAGCAGCAAAAATAAGTCTTGAGACCCCGCGATGGAAAACTTATCGAAAAGCCTGCCTTTTCCCGTAAGCCCGCTATGTCCCCAGCTTAAGAAAGCAGTCGGGCAGAGTCAGCCCCAAGTCCGTTCAGGGGACCTCCCTTCACTCTGGGCTGCCCCTTTGTGCTCCAGCATGAGCTTTGTAAAATCTGCCTGGAAGTCCCGCTGGGGTTTGCTCTCGATTTCTATCTCGGGGAACCCAAGAGCCCGAACACCAATAACACGCGGGACCTGGGGGGGCTGTATCCTCCCAGCCGCCCGTCTGGCGCCCGCGGCTGCTCTCTCCCCACTGCCCCTGCCGCCGCGGGAGCACAGGGGAGCCTCTCAGTGGGTGTGGCGGCCCTCCTTGGGGACCGGGGCCGCAGAGCTCCGTCTCAGCCTGGCTTTCCTGTCAGAGCCGCAAGGAGAGGAAGGCACCCTTCCCAGAGGCACAAGTGCCCAGCCAAAACGTGGGGGAAAAGCCATCTCCCCTAATCACCAGCATCTCCTAGCCTCACAGGAGCTCACGGCTGCCTGGGGCTGGAGGGCATGCGGGTGGGGGTGCCAGAGCTGACTTCTGTCCCTGATCTGCAGCTGAAGGAACATCTGCCCAGCACTTAGCAGCTTACAAAGAGCCTTCCTACAAATGGTCTCGCTTCATCTCCCCAACACCCTGCGTGGGAAGGGGAGACTCGGTCCGTTATGCAGGCGAGGACCCCAAGGCTCAGAGAGGTTCATGCTCCTGCGCGGGCCTGGAGCACGCACGCCCTCCCTCTGTGCACAGGCGTTTCAGGCCCGAGAGGATGGGAGGCTCCTGCCGTCTGCTGTGCCAGCCTCCCGGGCTCACCCCTCCAGCCGCCACTCTCAGGCCCCCTCGGGGGACTGTCACCCAGGGAGGCTTGGTCCTGTGCTGTGATGGCTGCTTTCACCCACAGTCCTCTGGCTCCATGGGCCTGGACAGCTCTGGGGTCTAGCTCTGTGGCCACACTGGCGCCCTCTGCCCTGGGCCCAGGTGTGCAGCTTTCCAGCCCAATTGGCCAGGCACCTCCCTGTGTCCCGCCCCCTCCTCCAGTTCATGAAAATATCAGCATCTGTCTGTGAGGGGGATTTTTTAAAAAGATTTTATTTATTTGTTTGTTTGTTTGTTTGTTTTTAGAGAGAGGAAGGGAAGGATAAAGAGAAGGAGAGAAATATCAATCACATGCCCCTAACTAGGGACCTGGCCCTCAACCCAGGCATGTGCCCTGACTGGGAATTGAACCAGTGACTCTTTGGTTTGCAGGCTGTCACTCAATCCACTGAGCCATGTCAGCCATGGTGGGGTTTATTTTTTAAATATATACAAATAAATGGCTTTGTTGCTACATAAAATGCATCCTTACAAAGTGTACGTTCTATAGTTTTTATTACACTAGTATTGTGCAACCATCCGCACTATCTAGTCCCAGAACATTTTCATCACCCCCAAAAGAACCCCCCTACCAATTAGCAGTCATTCCTCGTTCCCCACTCCCCCCCAGCCCTTGGCAACCACGACTTGCTGTGGATTTGCTTATTCTGGACATTTCATATAAGTGGAATCATACAGTATGGGGTCCTTTGTGTCTGGCTGCTTTCACTTAGCATAATGGTTTCCAGACTCATCTACTCCGTAGCGTGCGTCAGTGCTTCGTTCCTTTCAATGGCTGAGTCATATTCCGTTGTATGAATATGCACGCTTTCCGCACCCGCTTGCGCACTGATGGACATTTGGGTCATTTCACTTTCAGCTATTATGAATAACGCTGTATGTACATCAGCGTACGAATTTTGTGGGAACTCATGTGTTCAACTCCCTTGGGTATATGCCTCAGAGTGGAATCTCTGGGTCATATGGTAATTTGAGGAAGTGCTAGACTCTTCCAAAGGAGCAGCACCATGTCATAAACTCAAGAGCAGCATATGAAGGTTCCAACTTCACGTCCTCACCAATAATTGCCATTGCCCATCTTTTTTACTCTAGTTTTCCAAGTAAGTGTGAAGTGGTATCTCAACTTTGCTCTGTACGTGCTTACCGGGTGCCAAACGTGGGTATAGCTTGTGGGGAACAGGGTGGAGAAGGAACCATCATCATTGTCACCGGAGGATCTGCAGCTCAGAGTGAGGGGTAGAGACACACACAAGTCTTCATTCACACGTTGATTACTCTGTATAAGGCAGTGCATGGGCTAGACCTCATGGGAGACACTGGGATAGGTAAGATCTTCTTACTTATCTCCACTCGAATGGTCTCTTTTTTTTCTTTCTTTCTTTCCTTCCTGGTTTTTAAAAAATGTTTTATTTATCTTTAGAGAGAGGGGAAGGGAGGGATAAAGAAAGAGAGAGATATATCAATGTGTGGTGGCCTCTTGTACATCCCCTACTGGGGACCTGGCCTGCGAACCAGGAATGTGCCCTGACTGGAATCAAACTGGCCACCCTTTGGTTCTTAGGCCAGAGCTCAATCCACTGAGCCACATCAGCCAGGGCACCTCTTTCTTTCTTAGTGACTTTTTTAATAAAGGTTATAAGACCTTCACTGTCAGTTCATCTGTCTGTATGTCCATCTAAATATCTATCCAAGCATCCATCCATCCAACAACCTAACGTTTCACCAGCAGTCCATCAAAATATCCACCTATTCACCCTGGCTGGAGTGGCTCAGTGGATTGAACACTGGCCTCTGAACCAAAAGGTCACTGGTTCGATTCCCAGTCAGGGCACAGGCCTGGGTTGTGGGCCGGGTCCCCAGCAGGGGGCATGTGAAATGCAACCACACATTGACGTTTCTCTCCCTCTCTTTCTCCCTCCCTTCCCCTTTCTAAAAATAAATAAATAAAATCTTTTATAAATAAATAAAAATCTTTTTTATTTAAAATAAATAAAATCAAATCAAATCCACCTATCCATTTATCCACCCATTCATGCAATCACCCACTCAATAATCCATCTATCTATTCATCTTTTCACCCACTCACCTATCCACGCATCCAACCACCCACCCAGCCGCCTACCTGTGCGATCATACATCCATCCGTCTACCGAGCCTTTAACCTCTAACCCATCTAACTACCCTGTCATTTAGTCAGCCACCCACCTGTTCATCTATCCATCCATTCATCCATCCATTCACCCATCTACCCACCCAAATATCCGTTCACCTGTCCATCCTTCCAACCCCCTGTCCATCCTTCCATCCATCCACTCAATCATCCATCTTTCCAACCACCAACCATTCAAACACCAATCTGTCGTATCACTCACGCATCCGCCCACCCACCCAACCGTCCATCCATCCCCCCACCTGCATGTCAATCCCTGATCCACCCGGACATCTTGGACATGGGAGCTGGGCCCTCCGCTCGGCTAAGTCAGGGTGGGCAGATCAAGGACACCAAGACGGGTGCCCTAAGGTGCTGTTCCCTGAACACAAGCCAGGAAGGATTTCCAAGCCAGCATTTCTTCAGCTAGACACAGGGGCTTCTCTGTGACCCTGTGGCTGAAAACGTTTCTACCCACCATACCCTGCCCAGCTAGAGCCTCCGCCACTCTGGCTTACACGTTGGGACACCCACCTCTCACCGCTTCTCACCCTCTTAGGAGGTTATTTGGACATGAAGTCGTTTATCACATGGAGCGTCCACTATGTGCCAGGACCCTGCAAGATCCTTTATCATTTCATTTTCACAAAGGCACCAAGAGGCAGACACTAGGTCAACCCCCATTTCTGGACAAGGAAACTGAGGCTCGGAGAGCTGAAACACCTCGCCTGGGGGAACCCAGGCCTGGAGCCCCCTTCTCCGGCCTTGCCGAACATGGGGGAATCGCTGTCTCTGAGGGGTGCTCGCCGTGCTGCCAGGGATGCAGTGCACTCCCGGCCCCGGGCGGGGAAGTGGCCGGGGCGCAGGGGTGCTATAGGTGCCGCAGGCCGGGCCTGCAAATGGAAGGTCAGCGCGAATGGTCACAGCGAGCCCTTCCCGTCCTTGACCACCTGGCCGGCGTCAACCCTGTCAACCCTGGCCTTTTCTCAGATCCCCAGACCTGCTCAGGGCTGTGTGGTGACAGTTCCCTCTGCCTTTGTAGCCGCCACTCCCTTCACTGGGTCTTGCCCCCAGGTCTTGGCTCGCAGGACAAGCCCCAGTCACAGCAGGGTTCCCACCCTCCGCCCTCTGCCTCCTCGGCAGCTGGTTCGACCCTCCCCGCGCTGACAGCACCGCCCCCCCCCCGCCCCCTCCGTCATTCTGCATTTGCTGACTGCTCACCTCCCTCCGGGCGGAGGTTTCCAGGGGCAGAGGCTGGGTCCCAGCACCCAGGAGCGTGCACAGCGGGTGCTCCTCAAACATTTGCGCAAGATCCAGTCCCTCCGAACTGTCCTCCAGCCTCTCACCCACACCCTCTGCAGGGGCTGCCGACCCTGGCCCCCCTGAGGGCCTCTGCCCAGCTTCTCCTGTCAATTCCAGAGTCTGGGATGCTCCAGGTTCACGGCTGATCCCCAACGGGAACCCCAACACTGGCCCAGAGCCAAACCCAGGTTAAATGAGGGTGGGAAACGCCAAGAATGTCCCCCGTCCTCTCTCTCCTCCATGAGGCCTCCCTGATGCCTGGGTCAGTGTCCCAAGCGCCTGGAGACAGTCTGCTGGCCCTTTTCCGGTCAGATACGCCTGAGAGCAGGGCCCTCGGGCAGATGAGGTCTGTCGTGTGGCCGCAGCAGCCGGTCTCAGATCTTTGCGAAAGGAATACATGAATGGGTGGCTGCACGGCCGAGAGAGGCCGGAGCCCGCGGCTCAGGTGGCAGGATCTGGTTCCCGTGGACAAAAGCTGGTGCGGGGGGCAAGTGAATAAATCATGAGGGACCTGGAGCAGGGCCGGCAGGACAGCTGACCTCATTCTGGGAGGTGAGGAGCAGGCAGCTGGGCGGTGAGTGGACTGGGGACACAACGAAGGGGCACGAGAGGCCAGCGAGGCTGCAGGGTCCCCCGTCCCTTTCCTTGAGAAGCAGGAGGTGGGAGGTGCTGGCAGGAGGGGTGCGAGGGGAAGGCGGAGGGTCTGGGATGAGGCGAGGGTGGGGGGCTTGTCTTTCCACAACCCAGGAGCCATCCTGGAAGGGAGGGGAGGATAGAAGAACAAGGACAGACAGAGAGACCAGTGTGAGAAAGAGCCCCACGTAACAGAGGATGGGAAGTGACAGAGAGATGGGCCCGAGTGGGCACATGTCAGCAGGGGGCAGCGGGTGGAGAGAGGGGCTGCAGGGGGCGCCACGGGGTGGAGGGTGGGACAGAGCGGAGGAGGCACTGCGGGGGAGTCAGAGCCGGGAGCCAGGGAGGCAGGGCGGCCGGGTCTGCGCAGTCCGCCCTATGGGGCCGCCGGTGCTGGCAGGAAGGTCGAGGTGGCGGGGGTGGGGGCAGGATTTGGGAGAGGCGCTGCATGAGGGGCGTGGGGAACTAGGAAAGATGGGACCTGGGGCGCCCGAAGCCCTTCCAGCCCGCGGAGCAAGCAACAGGGAGGAGAGAAGCGGGGAGGCTGTGGACACCACACCCCCAGCTGCCCACTGACGACCCTCCTGCAGGAACAAGGAGACTGGAGTGGGGCGGTGACCCCCGGCCAACAAGCGGTGCCAAGCCCTCGTCTCCATGGCCCTTGCCCAGGGCCCGGAAGGTGACAGCGCCCCCACGGGGGACCCCAAGCCCTCCGAAGGCCCGGCAGGGCCCAGCCAGGCCCCTGCCAGCCCGGCAGTCACCAGGCGGCGGCTGCTCCTGCGGGAGCTGGAGGCCCAGGTGCAGGCGGCCTATGGGCAGGTAACATGGGCAGAAGCGTGGGACCGTCCTCAACCGAGGGGACCGTGAGCAAACAGAGGGGGCCTCACCCCCCAACCGGGGCCCTGTAGGACAGACCCAGGGCCGAGCCCAGGGAGGAGAAAGCCTGGACAGGCGTGTTGATGGAGAGGCCAGTTGGCTGCTCGCGAGGGAGGCTGGCTTCGCTCCCTGCCGCCGTCCTCGCTGAGCCCCGCAGCCGGCCCAAGGCCCCCAGAGTCAGGGGCCGGCCCAGGCAGGGGTGCCAAGGACCGGCGGCCAGGACAGGTGCCCTGAGGTGAGAGCCACGGTCCTGGCAGGAAAAGGGGCCGGGACTTCCCCAACTGGCAGAGGCGGCCCCTCTCCCAGGACAGGCCAAGAGGAGAGGTCCTGTGGAGGCCCTGCTGCCTGGCCTCATCTGCCATTCAGATGGGAGAGATGCCCCAGACCGCCCCGGCACCCCGGGCCCCTGGCTTCCCCGCCCAGGTCCAGGCCCTGCTTGGAAGAAATTAAACCTCTCCTGATGGAGAGCTTAGGCAGGGTTGCGGGGAGAGGGGCTATCTGGAAGACCCTCAGGAGTGAACATGGCAGACTGGGCATTCCTGGGGGCCTTGGGCCCTGTGTGGCCCCCCTCACCAGCAAAGATGCTCAGAGATAATCCCAGATTAGGACCCAGGCCCCCGTGCCCAGGGCTCCCCGCCTGCCCACCCGCCCCTGATCTTCCCACAAACCCTCGGGAAATCCCCTACCCTGCTCCCAGACGCACTGGGAGCCGCTGGGGGCTGCCAGGAGCCCGCAGCTTCTGTGGAGGCCCAGCCCAGGCTGCCCCTGGGACCCCAGGCCTGGTATGGTTTGGGGGCCCATGGGAAACTGTGCCAAGCGACCCCAACCCCGGAGGCCTCAGGTAAGAGGGCTAAGGGGGAGAAGCCAAGTCCGGGAGCCTGGGCTAGACCCCAGAAGGGTCAGGTGGGTGGCAGAGCCCTGTGTGAGGCCGGGCAGGGGTTGGAGGTGGGCACAGCAGGGGGGTGAAGGGGTTGGTTCCCACTAGGCCCCTCCACTGAGCTCAGCTGGCCCCCCGATGCCCATCCAGCTGCCTGACCCTGCTCTCTGCCAGCCCGTCTTGACCTGAGGGACATAATGCTTGAGTTCAAGGTCTCGCTCTGCCACAGGCTTTCAGAGTGACGTTGGCCAAGTCCTTTTCCCTTTCTGGGCCTCAATTTGCTCACCTGAACAGGAAGAGGTGGCCCTCCCAGCCTAGAGTGTTCATAGGTGAGGGCCCTCTGTCCTGTGCCAGGTGCCAAAGACAGGAGAGGCTGATGGTAGGGTGCAGAGGAGCCCCTGCCCCAGCTCACGGCCGGCTCTGCTGCAGGACAGCTGGCCGTGGCCCGGCGCCCCCCCAGGGGGCCCCCTCCAGAGCCTGGGCCCCGGCCTCAGCCCCAAGGAGCAGGGCGGCCCCAGGCCGGGCGTCCAGGGCTACTCAGTGCTCAGCAGCCTGGTGGGGCCTGCCTGCATCTTCCTGCGGCCCAGCATCGCTGCCGCCCAACTTGTATGTACGGCTGCCTGCTGCCCACCCACCTGCCGCCCTTGTTCCCTCGCTTTGCCTCTCCCTGAGCCGGGCAGAGGGCGGGGAGGGCTGAGTGGGGAGGTCGGAGCACAGGCCGCAAGTCCAGGCAGCTGCGGGAGCAGAGAGAGACCCAGGGAAATGTCAGAGACAGCTACCCAGGGGACAGGCAGGAAGGTGGCAGGGCCCCTAGCAGATGGCCAGTGACATTGAGGCCCTCAAGCCTGGGGTTTGCCCAGTCCCAGACCCACCCCTAGCAAATGGGGCTCTGTGTCCTAGAAGAGGGTGGCAGGGGTGGGAAGGCCCTGGGAGAGGCCTGGCAGATGGCGGGATGAAGGGAGCCCAAGGCCCCAGGGCGGCCAGCAGGAACGGGTGGGAGGAGCTGGGTGTGAGCAGCGTCAGACAGACGTGGGCCCTGTGCGTGCGTGTTGTGGGGGGCTGAGTGGGGAGCCCTGAAGAATAGGAAGCAAGGGGTCCAGGGAATCCCTAACCCCGCTGTACCCCTCAGGACCGGGAGCTGCGGCCAGAGGAGATTGAAGGTAAGGATGTGGGAAAGAACGAGCGTTGCTGGAGGGGTGGGCATGCAGGGTGCACCCAGGGGCAGGGCTGTCGGGTGGGGGCCTCAGCAGTCTCCGGGAGGGCCTAGGAGCAGGAAGCAGGCGCCGGGGGACTTGTGCGAGGGGACTGGAGACAAGACTGGGCAGGGAGGGGTTGACACAACCCCCAGCTGTCAGTTGACTGGTCTCGTTTGCCAGGCGTGTCATGGGCCCCTTTCGTGTTTGCTCGTTCAGCGAACACGTCCGGGGTGGCCGCCGTGTGCCTAGCCCTGCACGGAGGCCTGGGGAGCATGGCGCACTGGGCAGATAGGGCCCGTGTGCTCTGGAGAAAGACGTCAATAAGTCAGCAAGTACCAGTGGTGCTAAGTGCTTTCAACGACAAGTACAAACGGGTTGGGGGAGCCTGAATTTAGAGGGAAGATGTCCCTGAGCTGGTGACACAAGGACCAAAGAGGAGGGGAGAGCGTTTGGAATGTGAGCTCCGTGAGGTCAGGGATTTCCCGCCTTCCTCCCTTCTTCCTTTCTTTTTCTTTCTTCTGTGTCACATCCCCACTACCTAGAGCAGAGCTTGGCTCCTTAAATATTTGCTGAAGGAATGAATGATACAAAGAGCATGTGCAAAGGCCCTGAGGCAGCAAAGAAAAAACTGATGTTTAGAAGGAGGGAACGATTGGAATGAGAGGAGAAGGGTACATTGATCAAAACTGGGATCCAAGGGGACATTGGGGGAATACTGACCCTGCCCTGCTTGGCAGAGCTACAGGTCGCCTTCCAGGAGTTTGACCGAGACCAGGACGGCTACATCGGCTACCGGGAGCTGGGCGCCTGCATGCGGACGCTGGGCTACATGCCCACCGAGATGGAGCTCGTCGAGATTTCCCAGCAAATCAGTACGTGCCTCAGACCCACCTACCCTCGTTCTGCGGAGGCCAGGGCAGGGCGCCGAGCAGCCCAGGCACGGAGGCCCCTGCTCCCAGAACCCAGACCTCGGTCATTCTCGAGCGAGGACTCTGCCCCCAGAGAACCTCGCCGTCCCCTACAAGGTGGGCAGGGCAGGGACCACTCTTCCCATTGTTGAGATGAGGCAATTGAATATCTGACAGGTTCAGTGACTTGCCTAAGGTCCCACAGCCAGATTGTCGGAGCCAGGACTTAAACCCATCCAAAATCTTCAGGAAAATTAAGGAAAGCCATCAAAAAACACAGATGACCCAGCCCGTGGGGCCCAGAGGGAGGGAAAGGCCGAGGGCAGAGGAGGGCCAGGGCTAGGCAGGGGTCTCTGATGGTCCGGGGGTCCCTGATGAGTGTGGCCCCCAGGTGGCGGGAAGGTGGACTTTGAAGACTTCGTGGAGCTGATGGGGCCCAAGCTGCTGGCCGAGACCGCAGACATGATCGGCGTCCGGGAGCTGCGGGACGCCTTCCGAGAGGTGCGGCCTCGGGGCGGGGGCGCGCGCAGGGTCTGCCTGTCTCTGCTGTGAGTGAGGGGCTGAGCGGGCACGTGGTTGGTGGTCAGTGACCCAACGCGGTGCCCAATGCTGCCACAGTTTGACACCAATGGGGATGGCTGCATCAGCTTCGGGGAGCTGCGGGCGGCCCTCAAGGTCCTGCTGGGGGAGCGCCTGAGCCAGCGGGAGGTGGACGAGATCCTCCAAGACATCGACCTCAACGGGGACGGCCTGATCGACTTTGAAGGTACCACCTGACACCACACTCCCTGGAAGGGGTTTTACCAGATCCAGGCACTGTTACCGTTGTGTGCCAGGCCCTGTGGCCAGTGCAGCCCCATCCTCACCCAGGAAATCAGCACGGGAACCCATGGGTGAGGAGCTATGATCGCCTCCATGAGCAGGAGAAGGAAGTCAGCTCTTGGGAAGTAGAGATGCTCCACAGAAGGAGGCACATGGAGCCCAGGTCTGCGCCCAGGCAGCTGGCCCAGAGCCCAGCTCGTCCTCCGCACTGTGTTCCCGGAGAGGGAAATGGGGTTAAATAAGCATCGGAGGCCAGGGAAAACCAGCTTGTAGAAATTCTCCAAGGTAGAATTGCTCCTGAGCTTCCCGGAAGCCAAAGCAAGGAGATAAGAAGGTTCCGTGACAGGATGTTTTCTGTCTGTGAGGCAAAGCCCCACTTCTTGGCCTAGAGACCTATTACTATCAGCCCTGGGGGCTCCCTTGCAGGCCCTGCCCCTCACCCCTCAAGGCCAGTGCACTGGCCCCATCCAGACAGCAGACCCGGAACCTTGGCTTTGTCCTGGCAGAGTTCGTGAGAATGATGTCTCGCTGAGCGCACACGGAAGCTGGAGGCAGTGGAGAGGACTTGGGATGACAGCCGCCACACACCAGTGTGCCCCCAGAAGCCCATTGCCTCCCGCAGGGACCCCCTGCCTCTCTTCCCCCCACCTCTGCCCCCTCATTCCCCCTGAGTGTGCAATGCCCTTGCCTGCCCCACGACCCCTATTCTTCCTCCAAGCCCCTCGCCCGCCTGTTTCTCTGACAATAAAGTACCTTCAGACCTGGGGAGATGGCTTTCACCTCTCACTTCCTCATCCTGGGGGACCCACTATGTGGCCCCCAAAAGTTAAGTCCTGGGCCACAAGCCCCCTCCACTGTGAGCTCTTGGCAAGCAGGGGTCCTCTCTGGAGCCTGGACCCAGTCCACAGCAAGTGCTGGCAAAGGCCCCTGAACAAATAAACCCAGCCTGCTCCTCCTGGGGGGGATGCGTGTTGGCCGGTATCCTGGGCACAGCCCCTGACGGCCAGGCCGGGATTACTCTGGAGGGTGGAGCGGGCGTGTGAAGGATTCCCTGAGGCCTCTCCCATTCACAGAGGCCTTCGAGGAAGAGCCCGCGCACTTCCCAGCTTTAATCCTCAGCAGGGGGAGGAGTCCTCAACTCTCAGGCTCTGGCTGTGGGTCCCTTCAGCACATGCCCCAGCTTCTGGGCTGCTATCTCACTCTCCTCCGGGTGGGGGGCCCCCAGCCACTGGGCCAGCCAGCGGCACAGACATCTCTGCCTGGCTTGTGCTCCTTCCCTGGGTGGCCTTGGCCTCAGGCCCCCCTCGCCTTCGCCAGGCTTTCTGCCTCCCTCTGCCTTACATTCCGAGCTCCATCTCACTGTCTGCTTCCTGAGCCACCCAAAAGGTGCATCTGCTCACCTGCCCCTGCCCTGGTCTTCGCAGCCCCATTTTCCAGATGGAGGAAAACGAGAGGCCCAGGCTCAGTGATGGGCTGGATGTCACATAGCCTCACTGCCCGCTGTCCGCTCCAGAATAACATGCTGCTGAGTTATTCTTCCTACCATGTCACTTGTATTTGGTGACACTCCTGTTCAGGAACTGGCTGTGATCCCTGATGGTCCTTAGGTTGACACAGGCCCTTTGCCTGGCACCTCTCTGGGAGGACAAGGGAAGAGCATGAAGTCACGTACAATTAGGGTGAAGTGGAGGTGGGACTTGCACTCAGGCCTGGGGACTCTATGATTACGGTGCCAACAAGAGAGGATGCCTCAGGGTCCGAGTGGACCCAGCATGGGCCTCAGCCTCTTTCAGACACAGGGAAGGCCTGGTGTGTGGAGCGCAGCCTGTCGGGAGGCAAGATGAGCCCCGGCCTCTTGGTTGGGAAGGGGCGGGAGCTTTCAGCCCCGTGCCTGGCCCTTGTCACTGCTGCTGACAGGATGGCCTTGGGACAGCAGGCAGGCAGCCACCAGTGCCCTCCCCTGCCCGAGCCTGGGCCCCGAGGTGCCAGAGCTGGCTACAGCAGCTTCAGCGCCACCCTCCTGGAAGGTCCAAATTAATCCTTAGTCCTCAATTAGGAGATCTCTCCCGCCAGCCAGTCTGGCAGATGAGGAGGCGTTGCCCCAGGCCTGCAGCCTCGCTAGGAGTTGTGGGCCCGACCCTTTCCACCCCTAACCACCAGCTGGCACAGATGGCATTGCTGCCTGAGGTATCTGTTCTCTCTGCAGGGATCGGAGGGGGTGGTACATGCCAGGGGAAGACCAGAGCCCCGCTCAGGGTTAGCCTCCCGCCACCCTCTGGCTCCCAGCCCGGGGGGCTCTGTGGTTGGAGGGTTGAGAGAGTTGCTGGGACGGACTTAATCGTCTGCAGTGGGTCCGCTGGCACCAGAAGTACCCACAGCTCTGCCAGGTCTCACACATGCCCTCTCACCCCCAACAGGCTGCTATAGCCCAGGAAGCCTCTGCAGATAACAGCCGGAGCAGGAACCGGGGCCGGGATGGAACAGCAGGCTGACAGAGCCTGCGCTGAGGCCAGGGGCCCTTCCCCGCCCAAGAGGGGTCCCTGCCCGTCAGAGCAGGCCAGAGCCGCGAGATCCTCTGATTTCCCAAGAGAAACTGTACATTTAGCTTTTTACACTAAGCCTATCTTAAGTAGTTTGAGTGTAACATGCATTCAGAAAGGTGTATGCATCTTGAGTACAGCTCAATGAATTTTTACCTGGGTGTGGCCAGGTAACCGTCACCCAGATCAAGATACTACAGCCACTTATTTTAGGACAGTCCTAGGTTTACAGAATTATTTTGAGGGTTTACAGTGAGTTCCCACACACCCCCCACGCAGCTCCTCCTATGTGTTAGGCCAGGTTCTCCAGAGACAGAGAGCCAAGAGGAGATGTGTACGTGTGCGTAAAGGTATCTATTATAAGTCATTGGCTCAGGTGACTGGGGCGGGGCTGAGCAGTCCCCAGAGCTGTAGCCAGCAAACTGGAGGCCCCATAGAGCCCGTGGTCTCGTTCCAGGCCAAGCCCGAAGACCTGAGAACAGGGGAAGTGGATGGTGCACTTCCAGCCTGAGGTCAGGAGAACACTGGTGTTCCAGCTCAGCAGTCAGAAGGGCAAAGTTCCCGCATACTCAGCCTTTTCGCTCGGTTTAGATCTTCAGCTGATTAGATGAGGCTCGCCACGCTGGGAAGGGCAATCCGCTTTATTTATTCTGCTGATTCAACGGATGTTAATCACATCCAGAAACACCCTCACACACCTCCCCCCGGGATCATGTTTGACCACATGTGTGGGAACCCCACGATCCTGTCAAGTGGACCCATAAAATTAACCACCACACTGGTACTAACATCTTACACTTGAAAAGGATATACTTGTCACATCTCATGAACTTCTCCTGGTACGTTATTATTGTCTGAAGTTCACATTTTATGCAGCTGTCACCAGTTTTTTCCTGGCTGCCCTTTCTCTGTGCCAGAACGCTACCCAGGATGCCGCATTCCGTCAGGCACCGCGTCTGCTTGGGATCCTCTTGGTTGTGACGCTTTCTCAGGCTTTCCTTGTTTGTATGTTTGTTTGTAATGATTTGACAGTATCGAGAAAGACTGGTCAGGTATTTTATATTCTGTCTCTTAAATTGGGATTTGTCTGATGCTTTCTTCATGGTTAGCCGGGGCGATGGGTTTGGGGAAGAGAGCACAGGGGCAGGCGCTGTTCCTCTTCACCCTGTCAAGGGTGCACACTCTCAACACGGCATTGCTCTTGACGTTGGCCTTCATCGCCTGGCTAGAGGCGTGTTTGTCAGATTTCTATACTATATTTTTCCCCCTCCCTTTGCGCATGATACTCTTCGGAAGGAAGTCACTAGGCACAGCCCACATTTAAAGGCAGAATATCAACATAAATCACTTGGAATTCTTCTGTATGGGAGATTTGTCTCTCTCTCCCGTTATTTGTTCGTTTATTCAATCTATCATTTATTTACATCTGTATGGGCTCATAGGTATTTATTCTATACTTTAAGTTTAATCTAGTACTATTTTATTTATTCTGTTGTTCAAATGATCCCATCGTGGCCATTAGAAGCTCTCTCCGTGGGCTTCTGTCTCCCTTTGACATACCCCCACCATTGTGGGGGATTTTTTTCCCTCTAATGCTCTATTATTTTTATTACTGTTATTATTTTTTATTTTTAGGGAGAGGGAAAGAGAGGGAGAAAGGGAGAGAGATAAACATTGATGTGAGAGAGAAGCATAAACCAGTTGCCTCTTGTATGTGCCCTGACCGGGAATCGAACCAGCGACCTTTCCCTTTGTAGGACAACGCCCAACCAACTGAGCCATAACGGTCAGGGCTATTATTATTATTTTTAAATTGAACTTATCGGGATGATATTGGTTAATAAAATTATTTAGGTTGTAGTTGTACAATTCTCTAACACATCATCTGTATATTGTATTGTGTTTTTACCACCCCGAGTCAAGACTCCTTTGGGTTTTTGTTTTTGTTTTCAGCATTTTATTACTTTTTGCACTACAAAATGCTCCAGGATCATGTTGTATATTTCCTACCTGAGTCCTAGAATCAGTCACTTCTGCAAAGAACTCTGGTTCATTTTATTGGAGAATGGTGTTAGAAACCAAGACCTGGACGCTAGATTGCTTCTAGGCCCTCACAGCGGACATTCAGTGAGGAGATATGTATACCCTAACCTGTGTACATACACATTTATAAATGTTTCTGTATGTAACCAACTGTATCTATATTAAGCTAAACATTAAATTCACATTGCTACCTCCAATTCCAATCCACTACCACATGGATTTACCCCCTCCCCTGGTTTAGCTGTAACTTCTCATTCCAGTGGTGAGAAATCATCCGTCCTGCATCTACCTAATGCTCAGTTCTAGGGTACATCTGCAGTGGTTTCAAAATTGCTAACCCACACCCGCATGGGAAACCAGCTCACCCCTAGCGCAGAATGCTACATGCAGTTCCTGCCACCTGTACTCTTAGAGAGTCCACTCATTTCCAGATTAGCACCTCCTCCCACCGCCACCGCTTCAAAGAGGCAGTTTCATACATTTGTAATACAGCTAGATTTGTTTGTCATATTCTGCATCCCATCCTGGGATCCTCGGCTGCCTAAATGATTTGTTAAAAATTCACATACATTAAAGTTTACTCTTTGACAAATGTAAATGTATTGATTTCACCATTACAGTATCATACAGAATAGTTTCACTGCCTTAAAAAAAAGTCCCCTCTGCTTCGCTTATTCAATTCTACCCCTCAGCACCCCTGGGAAGCAGTCAGCTTTTTACTTTCCAGAACGAATTTGCCTTTTCCAGAATGTCATACAATTAGAGTCATACCTACACAGTATGTGGCTCTCTCTGATTGGCTTCTCTCATTTAGCAATATGTCTATCTGTGTCATTTCATGGCTAGATAAGACGATTTCCTTATATTGCTGAATAACAGTCCATTGTAAGACTATTTCGCAGTTTGCTCACCTATTGAACGCCACCTCTTTTGGGAAGACTTCTGTGCTGTAACGAGGCAGGCCCCTTCCTCCAAGTTCCAACGCACCCTGTCTTAGTCTCCACGTTGTCTTACTGCACCGGGTGCCTTTGCCTTCCTGTGTCTTTCTTGAGACATGAGCTCCTTGAGACAGAGTTCATGGTCATTCATTTCCATACCAGTGTCCAGCACAAGAGGACAGAGTCATAAAACGTTTGTTGGATGAGTGAATGAATGTCCTGGGGATGAGAAAAGTTGACAGACTTGGGGGCAGGAAGTTATACACAGAGGTTTTAGGGAGAAGTGGCCTGGGAGAAGGGGTTAGTGTTTGGACGAGAGTGTAAGATCTAGGGTAGCGAGGAATGAGATGAGGGGAGGGCTCTGGGTAAAGAAATGGAAAGAGTCTGAGGCACTGGAGTGGGGCGGAAAAGAGGAGAATGAAACAATAAAGCAGTTCATGAATATTCATTTAATCCATACAACAACCCTATAAGACAGCTATTATTAGCGTCTTCATTTTACAGAGAAACGGGGGCATTTTGAGCTAAGAACTCGTCCAAGGTAAAATCGCTAGTGGGGCCAGTGTGAGATTCCAACTGTCATTCTGACTGGTCGGTGCTCTTTTGACACAGGGCCTGCCGTGCTGTAAGTATTTGACAAAGGTTAGCTGTTCCCACTATTGTCATTATATGACACAGGCGTGGGGGGTCTTGGACGAGCCGGTTGAGTGGTCTCTGAGATCGCCCTTGGACTTTACACTAGCCTAGACCTCAGAAAGCGGCAATTCGGAAGGGGTGCGAGGGTGGCGATGGTCAGGGACCCGTTTCCATGGGAACAAACGAATGCTTTAGGAGGGCGCCTGCGCAGATCGGGAACAGGTTGTTGAACCGGCGAAAGGTGACGTAAAAGCGCACGGGGTGAGACGCAGGGCTCGGAACGTCAAAGCCCTGCGTCCTCCGGCGTCCGGGGCGGAGGAAAGGCGCGCTCTGTGGCGGCGGCGGCGGCGGCGGCAGCGACGGCAGCGACAGCATCTTTAGCTGGACCGAGAGCGGGTGGCGCGGAGCCTACGTGCGAAGCAAGGCGAAAGAGCCGTTAGGGCGGTGCCCGCGCCTGTGAAGACCCCTCGGCGCGCACCGCGGCAGACCAAACCCGGGTCCCGGCTTCCGAGGCCCCGCCTCTCGAGTCTTGGGACTAATCGGTTTGAGAGCGCGCGGTCCGGGGCCGCGAACTCTCCAATTGCGGAGGGCGTCGGACACCGCCCAATCCGGAGCAGACAGGTGCGAGGTCCGGGACGCAGAGACCAATCACCAGCGGTTGCGGCCTGTTGGGGCCTGTCTCAGCCAATGAGGAGGTCCGAGTGACATCTTTGATCACCAATCGGGAGTGAGAGAGCGTTTGTGCTCGTCCGCCCTTCCGGCCCAAGCTCTATTTACCAGGGGCGTGCAGCCCGCCTACCAATCAGAGCGCAGCTGAGTGGCTAGGCAGCCAACCCCGGAGGAGCGGCCGGCCGACGTCCGCCGCACCCAAGAGTTGGGGATGTCCTACAAACCCATCGCCCCCGCCCCCAGCAGCACCCCGGGCTCCAGCACCCCTGGGCCCGGCACCCCAGTCCCTACAGGTGAGGATCCAACTCCATCCCTGCTCGCCTGTCCGGGCGGTCGAGGTCTGGAAGAGAAGACGGCCTGTCGCCTACACTCCTTGAGCCTCAGTTTGCTGGTCTGTGAAGTGGGCGTGGTCACGTAAGGGCTTGGTGGGGTGCAGGGGGAGGGGTTTGTCCCTGAAGTTGAGCAGCCTGAAATGAAGCATCCCTTTGGAAGGAATCGGACGAGTCCGGTCGGGGGCTTGGAGCGCTGGGAGGAGATGTCCCTGTCCCGCGCTGACCTCTTAACTCGCGCATGTTGCAGCCGGAAGTGTCCCATCACCGTCGGGCTCGGTGCCGGGAGCCGCTGCCCCTTTCAGACCACTCTTTAACGACTTTGGACCGCCCTCCATGGGCTATGTGCAGGTGAGTGGGGTCCAGAGATTGCCAACGGCTGGGGACTGGAGGCCCCCAGGGCCTGAGCTCACTGCCCTGTTCTCTTTTGACATAGGCAATGAAGCCACCCGGCGCCCAGGGTTCCCAGAGCACCTACACGGACTTGCTGTCGGTCATAGAGGAGATGGGCAAAGAGATTCGGCCCACCTATGCTGGCAGCAAGAGTGCCATGGAGCGCCTGAAGAGAGGTGAGTGAGGCCAGGCCCACCCCCCTTAACCCCGACCCAGCAAGGAAGGACCTCTGGAGGTCCCTTGAACAAAGCCTAGATTAAGGGCCCATATCACTACTCATATGTGTATTGAATTGAATTGAAATTTATTCAGTTTTCAGGGCAGGACTGGGGAATTTGTATTTCAACAGGGCAAATTTGGGGATTAGACAAACCTCTCATCTCATCTAGCCCTTCATTAGATTGTGTTCCCTCCCTACTGCAAGGAAAGGGGGTGGGGAGGGAGGGGTCTTCCTCTGGAGAATGAGGGTGGGACCGGAGGGTGGCTGAGACCCTGTACGTTACTTCCCCATCCTCACCCCTGCCCCCACCCCAGGCATCATCCATGCCCGGGCCCTAGTCAGAGAGTGCCTGGCAGAGACAGAGCGGAACGCCCGCACGTAACAGGAAGCACCTCCACCTCCGAGTCTGGACCTTTCCCGGCCACTGCAGGGCATCTGCTTCTCCCTGGCCTTCACCCCGAGTTGCGCTTCCTGTCCTGTGTCCCTTGGTGGGTGCCCTCCAGGAACCAGGGGGTGGCTCTCACTCCAGTCGGCAGCACTAACTTGGGACCCCTGGAATAGTTAGCAGCGAGGTCACTGTGAGTCCCGCCCATGACCTGCCGTCAGTGTTGATCCAGCTGGAGCTTTCTTCTTTCTGTGGCCCCCACCGCTCAGCACTTACCCAGGACTTCTCACCACTTTGTCCCAGACCCCTCCTCCCCGAGCAGGGCCTCAGAAGGCCTGTTACCTCCCTGCCTTGTCTCCTGGGCCATAGCCTCTCTTTTCTGTGTGTCTTTTGCTAAACATGCCCTTTTTGTATAAATAAAAGATAATTTGGAGTTGTTCTCGCAGCTTTTAGCCTTTCTGAGTCTGGTACTTCTGCTAAGCCTGGGTGGGCTGGGAAGAAAGAGGGCAAGAGAAGACTTCAGAGTGGTGCGGTGCGGGGCAGAGAGGCCACTGAGCCTCTCCCAGCCTTGCTCGCCCCCCCTCCCACCCATGTCCATTGACCTTGGGAGGGACCCTGCCCCTGTCTGCCCTCAGCTTTCCCAGCTCCAGTAGCTGCGAGCTCCGCCCTCATTCATATGGCGCCACCAGGGGGCAGCGCAGGGCTTCGCCGCCTCCACAGCTGGAGGGCAATGTCACCAGCCAGCCTGGGCCTAGATGCCTGGCAAGGTGGAAATGCCAGTTCACTTAAGCCACGCCCTCATGCCTTAATGCCTTAACAGCCTAAATGAATCAGCCCTCAGAGGCTCCGAGTACACCCCATCTCTGACTCCATGGAGAGAAGAGGAGATACTGCTACCCCCCACCTCCCTCCAGTACCTTTGAAGCAGAGCCAAGGAGAGAGGACTGGATTCCAGCACGGGCACTGCTACCCGCGGCCCCAGCGCCTGTAGTGGATTGGGTGTGGTCCCAAGGGCTCAGCCCGCCAATGTCTAAGCCTTTGCCCAGGGTCTAGTGGCTGGTTGGCCAGACCTGCGGACCCGGAAGGTAGAGGTGGGGCCCCATCGAGGGGCTAGTCCTAGGAGCGAATGCAGGCCTCAGCTTGGGTGTGCAGCTGAATGACCCTAGAGGCCTGGGGCGCTGGGACCCCACCCCATAGGTAGAGGCAAGCCAGAGACCAGCTTCTGGGCGGACTTTGGTGGGGGATGCATTTCCCCCACGCTGGGTCTCAGGGTTGAGCGGCTGGGAAGAATGGGGGCCCCTGCCATATTTCCCTGGCACATGGGAAGACTGGGCTGGGGTGGAAATAGAAACCAAGAGTGCTGTGGGGATTCCGAAGAGCACAGGGGGAGTAAAAAGGCGCCAGCATTAGGAGAACTACCACTTCCCCCCGCTGCCTTGGGAAAGGAAGGCAGGGGCCGCCCTCGCCGCCGCGGGCGGGGCTGCCGGGACCCCGCAGGGGTGGGGAGGGCCCGTCGGGCCCAGGAAGGGGGCGGGGCGGCCGCAGTGACGCGGCGGGCGGCGGAGAGGAACGGCTGGGACGCCGAGGAGAAAGGTCGGGGCCATGGTCTGGCGCTACGACTCCCGAGGGTCCGGCCACTGCTGGAACCCGAGACCGGGGCTGGGGGCGCTCAGGGCTCAGACTCATAGCCCGTCCGCCCCCGCCCGTGCCCGGTGAGGGGCGCCCGCCCTCAACTAGAGGTGAGCTGGGACGGGCCAAGAGCACGGCGGGGGACGGGGGCGCGGGGAGCAGAGGGAAGTGGGGACAATGGGCCTCTCGCTCCTCACCGGCTGGGGGGTGGTGGGGTAGGATGGGTGCCTGCAACGGAACCGGGGCGCAGGTTGGCGGGCGGGTCTCTCAAGACTGGCGCCCGTGAGATACCAAGTGGAGCCACTCTTGCCTCAGCCCAAAGAGGGGTCAACCCCTGGGAAGGAAGATGGGGTCCAGGAAGGATGCTGGGGAGGGGAAAGTCGAGGACTGGGCCGCCGGCCAGGGTGGGGAAGGCAGATCTGGGGGGTGGAGGAGGTAGTTTTCTGGTCCTGGAAGGCAGGTTCTGGTGTGGGGAACACTGACAGATGCTAAGAGGAGGACCGCACGGGGCCGCTCTGTGGAGACACGCCGAGGGACACGGTTTTAAGTGGACAAAGGGAGTGAGGGACACGAGACCCCACCGACTCCAGGAAAGGGATGCAGGGGACAGCCCCGAGGAGCCGGCTGTGGGAAGCAGGCCCGGAAGGAGGGGCACGGGGGCTCCGGGGGGCGGGTCTCCGAGGGATGCTGTTTCCAGGGGGCTTAGAACGCGGCCGGAGAGGCAAGGCTGGCCAGCCCCGCGCCGCCGCTCCGGGGGGCCCGCGTCAGCGCGCGGTTGTCAAGGCGACGGACGGGCGGGCGGGGGGCGGGGGCTGCGCCGAAAAGAGGTCACTGATCAGCCTCGCTGCGCCTCCCGGCCCCCCGGCAGCTCCGGCTGCAGCGCTGGGCTGGCCTCTGCCTCCCCCGTGGCTGGCCGGAACATGGGGTCCTGCGGCCCGAGCCCCTCGGCCTGCGCGCAGGGCTCGGGACTGCGCGCCGCCACCCCGCACTGACTGCCGCTCGGTGCCCTGCGCCAGGCGGAGCGGAGGCCGCGCGCAGCCGGCGGAGCGCTTTCAGGATGCTCATCAAGGAGTACCACATTCTGCTGCCCATGAGCCTGGACGAGTACCAGGTGGCCCAGCTCTACATGATCCAGGTGAGGGTGATGGGAAGCGGGAGGCCAAAGGGGCCATACTTCATGATACTTCACACTGCATACAGCAGCGTGCAGGCCGCACCTGGGACAAGGCGCTGAGGCTCAACCCCAGCCAGTCCTGCTCTGGGACTTGAAAGGCCTCAGAGGCCAGAGGAGGAAGGAGAGGAACCTTCGTTCAGACGTAGGGGGAGGATGTAAGGGCTGTGGGAAATAAGCAGAAGGGCCTGGTGGTGCCTCCTCCGGCCTCCCCCTGCCACTGCCCCAGGTGCCCAGTCCACGTATGATCTCCTTTAATCCGCCTTAGAATCTGTCACCCAGTAGGGTAGTGCAAGGGGAGCCAAGAGTGAGAGGCAGGGAGTAAGGAGGGGTCCTAGGTGGCAGGTGCTCCCCAGAGGGTGCAGGATCCTGCCAGGCTCAGGTCAGGGAGATGGGATGAGGACCAGGCATCAAAACTGTGAAACCGAGGGGCAGGCAGGGACCTCAGAGGGTAAAGGGAGGGGTCTGGGCTTGGGCTGTGAGAAAAATGGGCCAGGGCAGGCTCTCAGGGAGTCCTGTTCCAGATGTGTTCCCCAGAGTTTTAGGAGCGGCGTCTCCAGGGGCGAGAGGGCCAGGATCCAGCCTGGGGGCTGAGTGGGCCACGGCTGGGCTCCGGAGCTGTAAAAGGGCAGGAGCTGAGTGCTTTGAAACTTTCACGGGTGTGGCAGAAGCTGGTTGTGGGGTCCCAGAGTGAGGGGACCAGGGTCAGGTCCTCAGAGAGGTGGGGGCCTTTATTATTCTCCTCAATGCTGCCAGCCGCCCCCCACCCCCACCCCTCTGGCCTCCTGGCCGTCCCTGGAGCGTGGGCAGCATGCTCCGATGTCGGGGCCTTGCACGGCTTCCCCCCTGCCTTGGGTACTTCCCCCAGGCCCACCCCACTCAGCACCCTCCCTTCCCTCCTTGAAGTCCTGTTCAAATCAGTCATGTTACCCCCCGGAGGCCTTCACTGACCATCTGCGGAAATGGCAACCCCCAGCTCAGGCCTCCTTACCCTGTTCCATGCTTTCTTTTTCCTGCAGCGCTTATCCCCTTCTCACGTACCGTGGGCTTTACTTTTTTCTGTGCCTGTCTCCCTCTGTTAGAATGCAAGTTCCACAAGGGCAGGGACCTTTGTTCAGTTCATCAGATATTCTAATTGATATAATCCTAAACAGTGCCTGGACTAGACCGCTCGCTGGATATTTGAATGACTGAATGAGAGCTGGGTTGCTGAACCTCACGGAGGACTGGATAGCGGCTGTGACCCTGTTCCCAGGAGCAGTGGGGATGGGGGGCAGGGCAGGGTTTCAGGGAGTTGGGAAGGCTAGATGAGGGCCCCAGACCTGTGCAGGGGGCCAGGCAAAGCTGCGGGCCCCAGCAGCTGAGCGCCGCGTTCTTCTCTGCCCCGGACTACAGAAAAAGAGCCGGGAGGAGTCGAGCGGCGAGGGCAGCGGCGTGGAGATCCTGGCCAACCGGCCTTACACGGATGGGCCGGGTGGCAGTGGGCAGTACACACACAAGGTGTACCACGTGGGCTCCCACATCCCAGGCTGGTTCCGGGCGCTGCTGCCCAAGGCCGCCTTGCAAGTGGAGGAGGAATCCTGGAACGCTTATCCCTACACCCGCACCCGGTGAGTGTGTGGGACGGGCTTGGGGCTCGGCAGCAGCCCCGGTGGGCACAGTAGTGACCCTTGCCCCTGCCCTCTGACCAGGTACACCTGCCCCTTTGTGGAGAAATTCTCCATTGAAATAGAGACCTATTACCTGCCTGATGGGGGAGAGCAGCCGAACGTCTTTAACCTGAGCGGGGCTGAGAGGAGACAGCGCATCCTGGGTGAGGCCTGGAGCCAGCAGGGGGACCCTGAAGACCCTCTCAGGCCACTTGACTCCTTGATAGGCAGCCTCTGACAAGTCCCAGGCTCTCTCTGGGCCCAGGCTTCCTGTCTTCAAAAGGCTGCCCGCCCGGTCCCGAGGAAGGGAAGGGGTGGCAGGGGCTGGAGGGGGCTGGCGGTGCTCAGAGCTGCTGGAACCCCTGCAGACACCATCGACATCGTGCGGGATGCAGTGGCCCCTGGCGAGTACAAAGCAGAAGAGGACCCCCGGCTGTACCGCTCAGTTAAGACAGGCCGAGGACCGCTGGCTGATGACTGGGCACGCAAGGCGGCTCAGACCGGGCCCCTCATGTGCGCCTACAAGCTGTGCAAGGTCGAGTTTCGATACTGGGGGATGCAGGCCAAGATTGAGCAGTTCATCCACGATGTCGGTGAGTGCCCAGTCCCGGGAGGTTCTGTTTACCCAGCATGCACCAGCCCCATGTTTGAGCCAGGATGCGCTCAGGCTGCGGGGCATGCAGAAGCATAAAGCCATCGTGACCATTTGATGTGGTGAGTGCTGAGGCAGAGGCAGAGGGGAGCAGCGCAGCCTGGCTGGGGCTTAGGGGAGACCAGTCTTGAGGGACAGGTAAGAGTCAGGAGGGTAAGAAACTGGCGGCATGATCTGGAGGTCTAAGATTCTCAACGGTTCTGTGCAGCCGGTGAGACTTAGAGACCTTCAGGAGGGTCACCAGCCCTCCCCGCAACATGCTGAGAAGTGCAGGCTAAGCCTGTGACTCTGATGACATTCTCCCTGGGCCCCTCCCACCCCCAGCTCCCAGAGGCCCA